ACAGCATGTAATTTGAATGAGTATTTTCGAAAACATTACCAGATTTGAAATTCATGGATATAACCTATATATAGCGCGGCGAAGACCGCGACTCGCCCTGTAGCACTTCATGATTAGCAGGGATCGTACGCGTTTATATGAAATGAATCTACATCTCATGAATTTCTCCTTATGATCCTGCAGAGAACACTTCAAGGAAAATTTCGCAAACTTTCAGGAAATGTTTTTGTTGTAATCAATCTGAGTGATACATTCATATTTCGTCCATTCATAGTAGATTCATTGTGTGAATGAGATCTATAGTTTCAAAATATATTTTGACAACTAAGAAGATGAAAAAAATATACCTGAAATAGCGTATAATTTTTTTATATACTAGTATGTTATCAGAATTTAACTATTGCAATTAATAGGAATATATAAGGAATACTTCATATCAGAAAACACCCCAAGCAATCATTATTATGAAAACGGGAACACATAAAACCACTGTGTGGAGAAATTAAAATGTGCAGAATATTTGGCTGAAGAAAATACTCAACTCTAACTGAACTGTAGAATGAAATTACTGACATGTACCGATGACCATTCTTACTTTATTCTTGAGTAATCGCATAAAGAGATGATTAGAAAACTTTGTACCACCCTGTATATCAGTGACAAATGGAAATAAATACTGTATGCAGACTTTCGATTTAAGTTTCAAAGAAACTCACGTTACTGAAAGTTGATTCATTAAAATGAATGTTGATGACTTAAAATTAACTCATTGAACTTTTGAGTTCTCGCCATTCAAATTTCTGATTACTATTGAAGATTTTCACAACACCAAACCGTTATATTAACAGCTCGACACGTGTTTCAATCACCAAGTGATCATCTTCAAGTGATCTTCCTCCAGTAATATTCGTTACTACACCAAAGGTTCCAAACAGTACATCATAAGTACAAAACTCTGATGAAAAAAATATAGCCATCTGCATTTCTTCATATTTTTTGTAAGAAATGAAAAAAAAAACATATCAGTTCGGTTGAGACAATGAAACAATCAAAATATTCAAAATGTAAGGAACATTATCCATTTATAAGCATTGAAGTTAACTATTGAGTACCTGAACCCCGGCTTCTCATGAGTATCTCCGTTTTCCCGATTTGGCACGGATAACAACGTCATATTTCAATCAATTCATCCAAAACAATAATCATTCATACACATGAAGCTTCCTCTTAAATCACTTCGTCAATTGATAAAACCGTATGAAACTCTTTTTGATAGTTTTTAGTTTATCACAGATAGACGCAGCGGGGACTTTGATGACATAACAAGATCATGGATTTATGTTCAATTGACAAAAAGTTTCTGATTGATGGAAAGAATAAACTTTCATCTATCTTGCTAAAATGCAACTGACGGTGATGGTGATCTCTAGCTGAGGAAGTTAGTTACTTTATTGAAAGGTGTATACAAAACGCCGCTTTTTCTTTTGACAAACGACTATCGATATGCATATATATAACTGAAGGAGAATGTAAATTGAATCGACGACAATAGTTCAATTACTGGTTGAATGGATGTAATAGATAGTCTATCTTGTACCGTTTATCTGATACGAAATGAATGACGTTTTACTCAACATCGTACTTTCAGAGACCTTGGGAATGATTAACGATTTCAGATACATGATACTAGTGTTCTATACATTGGAGCAGCAATATTATACCTGAAATATTATCAGTGTTAACCTGATTTGTTGCACTATACTTGTTGATAGACTAGACGATTGTTTATTGAATGTCTAATTCGTATATCGCTACAAAATCTCTTTGTTTACTTATCAATAAGATTATGTTGATGGTGACAATCATTACGTTCACCTATGCCAATAGTGAATGGAATTGTAATAAACAAAGAAAATAATTAGAGATATTTTTCATGAAGAAAACCTGTATGTGGTTATACGAAATGAATGTAAGACGAACTTTGAACAATTGATAGACAATATGATGAGGGAAGCGTAAATGATGATTCTACAGTAATTTTATGTGTTATCGACCATATTGATATGAGTGATATGAAACTTTCACTTTCACAATTTTTCAGTTTGATTCTGAATAAAATGCTGATATCCAACCTCATTTGAACAGCAGAGCATGATTCCTCTATATACTGGATACTGAAACTTTCTACTTTACTATTGCTGGAAATATTGAAATCGGCAGAATATTTTTTCAGGTATTCTCCTTGTCCTTCAGTTTATTCAAAATGGGAAAAAATCTCAATGACAATAATTCAATCGAATAACTGTGTTCATGAGTCATCTGCTGTTCCATTATATTGTCAGTTCGGCACTGTTGTGATATACAAAAATCAATCACAAGTGTGATCAAGCCATCATATTTTGTATTCATAAACATCATTCTCAAAATCATTGAAATCATATTTGTTTGCTGACGAAATTGATAACTAATTCAAAACCCAAATGGGAATAAATAAATCAGGTATATATAGAATAAGGTGTGGGGAATGCTCTGCAGTATATACATGCCAAACCGGTAGAAAGACTCAGTGAACACGGACAAAAAATCTACAATGTATGAACATCTGCAATAATCAAAACACAAGATGAGTAAATATAATCTCAAAATCCTACACACATGTAATGAAGGGCAGAAATTGATTTGTTGGAAGCCAGGGAAATTAATAAACCGATCAAAAACACAAAATATATAACCCTCAACGAGCAAATGGATTTATGTAGGTCTCCACTCTTGAATTCATAAGTTTGACAACCTGGGTTGATTCTATAATTTCCAGTGTTGAATTTTCATAGTTGGCACCCTGATTCATTGAATTACCTTTCCATCAAGCTTACTTAGAAACTCACTTCACGTTTTTGGAATTCTAATGTATTAGTTAGTTTTTACAAAATGAAATAACTCATGGAAATTATACAAAAGTGTTTTCAATCATATTACATTGAAAGAATCATGAATTTCTACAAAATGAACAAATCATCAGTTACACAAATTAGGAATTATTATATTGAATCAACGCTGGAGAAACCAGCTGCAAAAAAAAAGCATCTCAATAATATACCCATTAGGTATTTGGGAAAGATAGGTGTTTGACCTCTTACTTCTCTATCTTTATGAAAAAAAAATGAGAAACTTTCGAATGAAGGAAGGAACCAATTAAGTTCAGACTAAGCTCCCTACATAGACGTGTGAATAATGCCATAAAAATACTTCCAGATACAAACTGGAGAAAAAAAAGTTCAAGAGACCTGCCACAACAACACTTTCACATAAACATTGAATTACACGAGAGAAAAAGTACTTTCTCGAAACAACTACGCTGAGATCCATAGAGTAAATCACCTACAGACTGTTTCAGGGGTGTTACTCCCCATCAGTGCAAGAAAGATCTGACCCAAACAGCTATGTGCCTAAAACTCGACTGACTCCAACCACGGCTCGACTGCAAGTATGGAACCTTCGTCCGAGGGAAAGTTTTGTGAACTAGTATCAGCACACGGCCCCAAAAACGGGGAATAAACATCTCTTTCATCAAAACTCTGACAGAAATCAAAGTATATCGAGAAGGCATGCATACGTGTTGAGGAAATACGTTTCCCAATGTTTTTACGTAGTAGGATCTGGTGTATGCCTGCCAGAAAACAACTACTTTCCGAATAATTACAAAAAGGAAAAATTCTTCTAATTACTGTGTGTTGTGAGATTTGTGAAAAAGGATTCAGGAAAGGGTGTGGTACTCAAGAATAAGTTCTTGAAGAAGGAGTTAGGATGTAGCTGTGCTAAGACACATTTCACCGAAGGAAATCCTTAATCGAAATCATTTCATATTTATTCAACAACCTCTAGGTTTTTACAGAATTTTTGAATTTTGAAACATCAGTTTCAAATTTCATATTGCACTGGTTTTACTAGTTTCAACTCCCCAAAAAAAATTAGGTTTGATCACTACTACTTACTACATTCAGTTTCAGAGAAATTTCAGTATTGTTGCTGTTCGAAAAAGTGCCGACGATCAAAAAAAGAAACTGGATTATCTTTGACTTTATACAAATACAATTCTCAAATAACAAGAATTCGTTTGAAGTGGTTAAAAAAATCATATTCATAGATAAAAAAATGTTGTGAGTGATAAAATTCGGACCTAGTGATTCTCACTTTTAACAAATGGACAAGTTTACTATCTCAAAGAACTTTTGCAAATCATGAACATTTGCATTTTCAGCCCACCAACTTCAAATACATTACCATTAGCTTCTCAAATTCTAAAGATGACATCCTAATTCACTCAACAACTGAGTTATCAAAAAAAAAACGAATATACATGAAAGAGATACCAGATGTATTTCTTTCACACAGAACTCAATTGTTCATATGCTAGAAAACAATCTATGTGTCGTTTCGTTATGCACTTTCGATATCTTAGAGCTTGTTTTTTTATATCTTCAACACTAGTAGAAACGGTTACTTCTCAACTTGAAACTGTTCTTATTCTCTTTGTTTCGTGAAACGTTTTTGCATATTCGCAATCCTTAAGTAATTCAGCATTAACTTATTTATTGGTGGGAAAAAATTCGAATTCCTATTAAATATTTTTTTATAGCTAATGTGAAGATTTTGCATATAAGTGTATCACAAATGTGTTTTGAACAAAATCAGTTTTTTGTATCCAAGGTATTTCTCACAGTTGAATGACTTTTTAATTTTTTTATATATATCGTTTGAATTATATAATCACTTATTGCGAAATAATTCTGTTACTGGTTTGAATTTTCCACCAAATATTGTAAATGTGAAAAGATAACTCGTTGTTGTTGGAATTCAATAACCAACAACGATTCTTGGTATTCCAAAAAATTAATCATTATTAGTTCGCAGTTGATTTATTGAAACCTGAATCAGTCTCCGCGCCTACTTGCCTAGACACAATTTATGAGATTTGTTAAAGAAACAGAACTAATACATACCAAGGTTCTCATGTTGGGTATTCTGAATTAACACTTAGTAGCAATTGCACGGGGTGTCACTGGTTCTAAAGCATTCAAGACATCTATATAACAAGGTGCAACTACCCCCCACTCGCTGTTCTTGAACTAGCTATCAGATATTCTTTCATTCAGGGCTACTTGATTATACTTTCTCTATATTTGTTTTCTAATGAAATAATTCACTGTCATGATTCTATTGTTTTATTCTGTAGCGCATTTCTTCTTTTCAGTATCATTTTGATTTGGAGCTATTTCGGTTTCAGAAAGACATTCAAAATGATAACTGAATGTGATAGGGGTGACTTGGTTCTTTATTTTATTGACTATGTAAATGAATTACCTGTCAAGTGTTTCATTATCAAATATGATGTGATCAAATATTGCATCGTACGCAAGTACTCAATATATACATCTCTGCCTACAAGTATAATTTGTTATAAGATTCCAATGAGATGATGTTTCATCATCATGAACAATGGTTGGATGCAAATGATGATGATACAGATGTATGTTATGTATGTTTTGACCATGTCTTAATTGTTATAAGTAAAACCTGTCGGCAAGCCACTCCAAAAGAGATCGTCTCTGCTCCTCATTCTATTTTGGGATATGCTGAAGACTTTACTAATATACATTTTGTTTAAGAACAAAACAAAAGCACTTCAGACACTCTCAGAGCGGTACCTGTGCGAAAGTAGCGATTCACATTGGATTTAAATCCATTCGGAAAAACGTCCTCAGGAAGTTTATTCCACATGAGCGCAGTTCTCCAAATGGAAGAATTCTTAAACAGTGAAGTTCGAGGTGTACTGAGTTGATCCTCAAAACGATGAGCAGCCACAGTCCGTCGCGTATTTCTGATATGTACAGCTCTTGGTGTAATCAAACGTGCCAAGTCACTTGAACCCCTCCCATGAAAGTATCTATAGAAGAGAGACAAATCCCCAACCTTTCTTCGATGTTCCAAGCTATCAAAGTTGCTCGTGATGTTCGCGTCTCCAATCAGGTGGATGGTTTTTTTCTGGATGGAATCTAGCAACTTCAGGGTATGTTTGGGGGCAGAGCTCCATACCCATATATGAGAACAATACTCCAAAGAAGGTCTGACCTGAGCTTTATGAAGCATCAAAAGTTGCTGAGGTGTGTATAGTTCTCTTGTTCGGAATAGTGTTCCAAGCTTTTGAGAAAGTCTTCGCAATTTCAGCGACATGATTGTGATAAGATATAGTGGTGTCCATTTTAACCTCTAACAAACTTATCGAAGCTGAAAGTGGAATTGACATTATTACATCCGGTTCGGAGACATTTATCTTCTTGGAGAAAACCGATGCATGGGTTTTTGTGGCGTGGTTATTTTCACCCCAGTTAAAAATCACTTCTAGATTCCCATGCAACCTCCTGCTGCTGGTGAAGAAATGACTCCGTAGCCGATATCCTGGAGTCCAAATGAAATGACGAAACAATTGTGCTGTCGTCAACAAAGCAATATTCAATTCTTGATTTTTTTTCAGTAAGACGCTGATGAATAAAAAAAGGATTTCATGAGACCCATAAAATGTTTCAACTCAAAATGAATATGTACCTAGTTTTTGATAATAGATGTAAAGACTGAATTCTCTGAAATCATGAGAGATAATGTCAATGAAAAACTTTCTTGAATAATCTTCTCAGATTTTGTTGTATTTATTGATGAATGGGTATATTCATTATTTCGATAGTAAATTAATTGAGTTATTTCAAATAGGTACGATATACAGGCTTCACAATCTGTATGAATTGTCTGACATGAAAGCATGTGATATTTGTTTCACGTATCTGTATCAAAATGAGATTTGGTGAAGGAGAATGGTATAAAAAGAGAGTTTTTCCATATTACTCACAAAATCAACCGAATCCAAATTCATAGAAAAGATCGCTATAGTAAATGTTGGAAGTGCGTTTCTCCTTGTTGGAAACCCATTTTGTCTGGTTCAATTGTTTCTCTCAACACGTTTGGTAACATCTGAGGCATTATACTTCTAATTGCATATGGAATTCCTTCTTCTCAGATTTCAAGAGTGACTGGGGCTGTTGCAAGGGCTGGGTCTGGGACCTTCAACATATCCCCAAGTGGAAATATCGAACTTGACATTGCTTGAATATTGAGAAGTCCAGTTGAGTAATTGAGAATTTCTTATGTATAACGAGGAGCTGTCCCATCATAGCGAACGTGAATTTATAATTCACTAATTTTCAATCCATGTTTTGATTTTCAATCAGACTGCAAATCAATCAGTATCGTTAAATTCCACAAAAATCCTATTTTCGTTATGGTTTTGTCGAAAAATATTGGTAGCTTGAAGAATATTGGTAGCTTGAAAAATAATTGACACGTAACTGTAATTGTATCAAGTTGTGTTATTCCTATCTATTACACTTGTCACTAGAACTTTGAAATTGCAAATTTATAACATCACCTGTGGTTCTCAGATTAGTTTAAGTCTGATCATGGGAATCTATATAAGATAAACCTAACCAAAAATTTTATGTGGACGTAAAATATTATTCATGAAATTTATTTATTGTTTAAGAAATTATGATTTTCCTGGATTTGTGAACAACTGCTCTGATTAAAATACAATACAGAATCTGAGTAACATATCTGACTAATGAATGTTCATTTGGAACTTCATTCGGAAATAAAATTCGCTCAATTTATCAATAAGCATTTTCTTTGTAGAATAGTTATTGAGTTTCAAAAACAAAAGAATATTTTTGAAGTGAGGCCAGAGTCGTAGCAAAGCTTTTTACTGTTTTAGGCGAATTTGAGAGTGTTCGAATTCCAAGGAAATATTTATCCATGTTTGCAGACTGAAGAATTATCAAATTGAAAAATTGGGAGAGAATCTGGAATGAATTCTCTTCTTCATAAAAAAAACCTTTTACTTTCTATGTTTTTTTAGCACTTTTATTTGTAATTTACGTTACTGCAGTCAGGAAACGACTGAGTCGCCTCCTCAAGAGCGGAGTTCCTTACTAAACCGCCTTGCACCAAATTCTTGAGCGGCGTACGCAGAATCTGTCTCACGTGGAGGAACAAACCCCCCATGAGCAGGTTAGCAAACGTTTGCGCTCTAGTGATAATTCACCAAAACCCATAGGCGAAAAAGCCCTGCACCGTTGAATATAAGGTATCGTCAGGTTGTCACGGGTATCAAAGTGGGAATCTTGCACCTTGTCTATCCGACTACCTCATAAACGATGAAACAGCAGAGCATATACTTTGTGCCTGCCCCGCTGGGGACCGAATCAGGTTTTTACAGTTTGGCAGAGCCGTACTCTAACTTTCTAATCTGAAAGACCATTCACCATACAAACTAATCGGCTTCGTTAAGGATCTGGGTGTGAGCCAAAATGAACCCTTGCGGGTTGCGGTGAAGGGTCGAATAGACCCTCTCACGTTAGACCTACCCTAACCTACTGCAGTTTCATCTCATGAGGATATTTTCAAACTTATACATTAATGTTTATACATTGTACATTAATGTTTAATGTTTATACATTATACATTAATGTTTAATGTACAAGTTTGAAAATGTCCTTATAGAACGAAACTGCAGTAAGGTTAGTTACAAATGAAAGTGGTAAAAAACAATTCCCTTTTCGTTTCGCTATATATATATATATTTCCGTAGGTAAAAAATAATACATATATGAACCTTGATTTTGACACTAGTAATCAAAAAAACATATTGTGTTTTCTATAATATAAGTAATTCTCGCATCAAACTCTTATATCATCTAAATTTGTGAAATGTAATAAATGGATGGGTTTGATTTGATTCAGTTCATTTATTATTTTGTAAAGCATAGGAATAAAACCATACTCGTCTAAATAGTTTCTGACATATCTTTCATACTGAATGTTGCTTATAGTTATCCACTAGATGGAAAAAATTGTTAAGGCTTTCGCGACCGAGGTTTTCAGTCCTACATTTACAGTGTCACTATTTTTTGGGTAAGAAGGCTGTGGATTTTCGGAATTTCTTCCTGATGTTTCGGTGGCGCGAGTGGCTAGTTTCTTCAGATGTTTATACATCGTGAGTTAATATTTCCGATGACTGTGTATTACAGCTGCGTTACACGTATTTATGTTGACTCCCCAAGTAGTTTCGTGTGCTTATACCTGTACCTCGCTCAGGTTAATTTCGTGAAGAGTGTTTATAATTGTTTTTTAATTATTGATCCAAGCCAAATTTCACAATTGAAAAAAGTAATTAGACTTCACCTATAATTTTTGTCCAGATTAATCAATATCTAATCAATATTTTATTTACTATGAGTTCATATTATAAACCTCAATGCATAAAAACAAAGAAATGTGTGGTGAAAAACTGAGATGGGATTGATATTGTTAATGGTATTTGGTAAGTCTTTATGTAACAAAATGTTTCTACGGTACTTGCAAACGATGAACTGTATTTTGTGATACGCGGTAAGACGGTATGTCTTGTTTCTAGTACTACTAGTACTACTTGTAAGTAGACTAAATTTTATTTTCACTTGGTGCTACCCCCGAATTTTTTTTTTTTTTAGAGAGGGTAATTTATAAGGATAGGCTGGAATTATTGTCAAGTCACGTATTTCCCGAATATCTTTGAAAAGGGTTGAAATTTGGCAAACAGAGAAATTAGTATGGATTGTAGTTATTAGTTGCCATAAAATGCCAAAAAGATAGGAATGCAGAGAAATGTCACGTTATCTTTAGAAATCTTGGTATTTGAACTCAAATAATATAACCATGAAGAAATGAAAAAGACGGTTTTGAAAAAGTTAACAATAGAAGTGTAGGCCTTTCATTGAGGCGTCATTTGCAGATTTAACCATCTCAAATAAATACCAATATCGTGAAAGTTTTCAATTTCAAATAAGGGTGAATGCGTACAATAAACACTTTGAGATTACCATTTGATCCGAGGGTCAAAATTAAATTAAAAAATTATAGAACCCTTAAAATCATGTAAAAAACACTGATACGTTTGAACAATGTTCATTTAGGTAGTTTGGTGTGATAATACATCATCCACAAACACACGGATAATTCC